AAAAAAAAAAAAAAAAAAAAAAAAAAAATACTGTGGAATGCCCCTGATACAAACCAAAGTTGTCAGTTATTTCATTTGAAACCAGTGTCAGTATAATCTTAGGGAAGCAGGTGGTTAAGATAAGCAAGAATTTAGTCCAATGAAACTGTTTGTCATCTTGATAACTTCCGAAGAGAGTTGCGAGGTCCCTGACGGTTGGGCCGATTCCTCCGATGAGGGTTCCCCGACGAAAGCAATGTGGGCGTGGTCGAGCATTGATTAAAAGGTTTCGAAAGTGGTCAAAGGCTTTTAATCGATTTTAAAGTCTACTAATATGTAGAAAATATATAGGCCTATAATTTTTTTTCTCCCCGACTAATTGTGCTTTTTCTCTCCGACGGGGGGTCCATGGCGCCACCCCTGATGGTGAGGGAAAGCAATTAAAAAAAAAATGAAACCCTGGAAAAGGGAAGGGAAATGTTTCTCATCTGCCAGTGTTTATTCTTGGAATACTTATAGGGAGGGCTATATAAAGTTTGCAATATGAAGACAACTTGTTTCACAACAGTTTATGTAGTATTTAAAAACTTTGACTCCTATTCACACTTACACGTACAAATAGCCTTGAAAATACACAACCTTTATAAACAACATGGCGATGAGCATGCGGCTGTTGGCTGGGAGGTTGCAATATTCTGCCTCTCAAATTATTAAAACTACAGTTTTTGCCAAGCAAACCCAAAGTTTGTTTCTGAAACAGTCCACCAGATATTTTAATAGAAGCTGCGTTGTATTAACAGGTAAACATTTAGCGTAAAAAGTTAATAATAATTATTTCTAGGGCCAGCCTTAGCTAGTTTTCAGGCTAGGCCTTTGCCAGAGAGGTCAGAAAACTTCTTCCCCAGACGAGGACGGTCCTTGTGGGATGGAACGTATTCTATAGTTTAGGCCTAGCCTAGATATTAGGGGCCCAAACAAAGGCGTATGCACTGGACGAGACATCTGTATGTACCATTTTCAAAAACTGACTAGGCCTAGGCCTGCTACGTCCTTGGTCTAGGTCTAGCATATGCCTAGTCCCTAGGCCTTACATTTTTCCCATTTTTTTTTTTTTTTTTTGCAGAAAATTAGCTTAGTTAGACTAGTGCTTCTGTTGGCCATACTATTATTACTGTAAAGGAAAATGAAAATAGGTAGCCTGAACACAGGCAGTGGGGTGGCTAGGACTAGGCTAGGAGGAGAGGAATATGGTACAGTACCATACGCTCTCTCGATAAAAATGGCGAATGTCCTTAGCTGTTGCCATTAGCTAGAAACAACAAAAATTGGAATGTCCCAAATATTTTTTTATTTATTTTTAATAGAAAGACATAACTGAATGAAGCATTTTAAAACAAAAATTATGTAAATCGGACCAGATATTGCTATTTTAAATATGTTTTTTGCTTTTTTTGCTATTGTTTTTATTATACAAGAAGTGTGTCCCTTACAGTATAATTATGTAGCATTTTAGGCCATGTTAAAATAATACTTGACAATTACTAACGATTATAATTTAGTATTTTAGTATATATATATATATTTATATTAGATTTATTAATTTTTATCAACTTCTAGATTCTACGTATAATAAATTGTTTCGCCTACTTTGGTATATAAGTCACAGTCGCGCCAATTACTTAGAATTTGCGCATGGCTGGTTTGCAATATATATATATTCAGTGACTCAATGGGAGTCAGAGTGTACCCTACAACGCTTAAATTTGTTATTGTGACAACCATGTGATGGCCTCAGAATAGCCAATTTAACACTGGAATTCAAGCGGTGCTTCCATGAGTGCGTGCACATGCTCTTCTTCTCACAAATCGGGACCTTCACTGCCGATTGGGTATTCTATCTATATGCCTAATCTCAATGATAAAAGTTTCAATAAATTGGCATAATAACCGGTATAGAAGAAACTTTGAATTATGATTATTTTAATTGAAATTTGTTTACAGGAATAGGATCTTTTGAAGAGAAGGTACTACAACCATGCCAGTATTAAAAGTAACATACCAGTACATTTGTATTTTCACCATAGAATGCAATCTGATTCTCTAGTAGGCTTTACAGACTTTTCCTACTAGCAGGCCCTGCGGTAGCATCAGTGGCGTAGCGGTCTTGAAATGGAGGGGAGCTGATGGGGGTGAGAGGGTGGGGGATTGATGATTAGGTGAGGGGACTAAGTCGCAAATGATTTGAGGTGAATTTTAACTACTTGAGCATGATTTGTGGGCAGGGTCGCAACTGGGGGATGAGCGAGTATTTTTTTTTTCAGGGGGTGCGCGCCCCTTGCACATCCTAGATATGCCTATACCTAGCATACCCTGCAATTTACCCTACGGTCTGCCACTGGTTATTATATATTATAATTAGGTCAAAGCATAATATTAGGTAAAGTTTGCGCGGAAATTGACCCTTATTTTCTGAAATGTGCGGACATATTTCTAGACCTAATTTTTTGCGCAGAGGATACAGTATATTCTTCCGCAGGCCTTACTTTACAGTTTGGGTTTATGTACAGCAGTAGGCCATAAGGCTGTTCATTAAAAATAATGCAGAGAATATTAAAAACCAAATCTTTGCATTTGAAATTTTTCCATGTTGATGCTTATTTCTTTCAGCCAATTGGAACGTTTTTCAGATTAGCGACTTCTATTTTATAGTTTTTGCTTGTTACATCATTTTGAAAATTAGTAAACAAGTATTAAAATTTGTTATAAAACCCAGTGAAGAATAAATAATTTCAAAACTAACCATTAGAAAATTTTGAAATGGAACCATTTTTTTTTTTTTTTTTTGCAGACAGAAAATTTTCAAAAGAACATGAATGGGTGACTGTAGTAAATGACATTGGCACTATTGGCATATCAGATTATGCTCAGGTGAAGTTTATGTTTTGAGCGCTTGGAAACTACTAGTTTGAGAAGCTCCGACAGTGAACCACAGATGTACAGTACCATGTTCACTGATAATAATAATCTTCTTTCTTAATTACAAAATGCCATTGAAAAATTGTTTGACTTAGATAAATTTGACTTACAGATTGTTAATTAATGGAATACACAGTAATTTGGCATGTAAAATAAGTATGACTTAGAAATTATTTAAGTTTTTAGGCAAAGTCGAATTAGGCAAGTTTTAAACTGTAAATATACTTTTTTCCAATCTTTAAAGAATAAAATATGTTTTTAATGTGTTTATTGGAATTTTTCATTAATTATTTGCCTTAATGTTAAAAAGAAATAAATATACAGTAAATGAATAGTTAATAAATAAAAAAATATTGAAATCATATATTTTATTTTTTTTTGCCAATGTTTGTTTAGTGTTATAATTTTGTTATGCTTATGTTTGCTTTAGTCTTTAGTGTTGGCTGCTTTAATAAGTAATTAAAAAATAATTCTTACAAATATCTTTCTTCTCCCCTCATGTCAGGATGCATTAGGTGATCTAGTATTTGTGGATTTACCAGATATTGGGACCAAATTTTTCAAAGGCGGTATGTTTTCTAGTTTTGTACAATTTCATTCCATAATAGACCTATACTTTTAGTATAACCTTTTTATAGTTTGTTGAGCAAAATTTTTTCTTGGAGAAAAAACATCAATGTCATAGTTAAATATACAGATATGTGCACTAACATGCCAAATTTATATAAATTTTTCTTTAAAAAAAAATCTTTTTCAGCAGAAGGCAATTAAGAAAAGTCTTGCATTCACATCACCAGGTTCATAATTTATTGGAGTATGATTTGCTTAACATTATATTAATTATTTTTTTAAGAATTCAATAAAAAAAAAATTATATTGAATTTGCTCATTTTGAAGGTTTCCAAAAGTTATCAACTTATTGATATGGAATACAAAACAAAAGTGTAATATATGTAATAAAATGAGTCTTGTATTGCCAAACATGAGGAAATGAGTTATTGATTATGTTTATATATAATGTTTTGGTCTTTGAATCTAGGTTCAGGATTGTGTACAACCAGAGTATTAAATACAATTCAGATATTTGGAAAAATACTTAGACAAAATTGCCTCTAAAAATAAACAAATAAATTGTGTGTTGCCTGGTTTTCCTATCGATTCTGAATGGCTTTAGAAATTAAAGTGGCTTTACAAAATGTAGTGGAACTAAATACTGTAGCTTGGTGGAATGTGCTTGCTTTTCAATTCCATCCGTGCCATGCATGGTGTCTTTTTCACAACTAAAACAGATCCAAGCTTCATGGAAGAGATTAAACATAGCAAGGGTGATGATGCATGCTTGAAAGTGGGTGGGATGATTGGACGAATGGGAAATGAGGCTATAGGCCTTGTGCCCAAGCTTTTGCTAGGAGCCTGGGGCACCAACGGCTTCTGGTGGGGTTCAAGCTCCTGCATTCTAACCTATAGTCATATTTAATTGATTTTAAGGATAACAATTTACGACAGTATTTCCACACTAATGTTGAATAAAAGTGTTTCAGTTTACCTGGTATTCATAAATCAAAAGCCCGCTTATAGTTTGTGCAAACTTTAAACATTCATGAAAATAATGATTCCTCTTATTTCGTAATTGTTTTTTCCTCTTGTTTTAAAAAAATGAGGTTTTAACTATAGACGAAGAGTGAATAGTGGGGGACAATTGATAGGATGCCCTTCCCACATTGGAATGTTGAAGATATTTCCCCACCGATCGACACCCGTGAAACATGGGAGGCTTCCCTGCATTTTTTTCTGTACAAATGATTGCAACATAAAACAAAGTTTTTCTGTACAATCCTCAGATGAATTTGGAGCTCTTGAGAGTGTGAAGGCAGCCAGTGATTTGTACATGCCTGTGTCAGGCGAGGTAACCGAAACAAACGCGACCTTGGAAGATGACCCTGCTATTATCAATAAAGATCCTTATGATAAAGGTACTTGGTTGAAGTCTTGTTTACTTGTTTGCTAATTAACAGTTAATATTGTATAATAATAATCTTACACTCATATAGCGTAAACATTTAGAGCTTCTCTGAATGGATGTCTGAGAGGTATATTGTTCCTGCTGAAGACCCCGGTTCAAATCCGGCCAGTGCTCGTTTTTTTATTATTATTATTATTATTATTATTGTTATTATTATCATTATTATTGTTATTATTATTATTATTATATTATTATTATTATTATATTATGATGATTATTATTATTATTATTATTATTATTATTATTATTATTACACTAACAGAACGGGAATAAAAATACTAGAATGAGAATAATGAATTGGGATGTGTTGGATAGTACTAAATTAATTTTAAAATAATAATTATTTAATAAATAACAGTAATATTCAACAATGTGTTGAAAGTATCTTTTTTCCCAATATGAATGTCATGATAAAAAGTAATAGTTATTATAATTAACATATTGGATAGTAATTACTTTCATAATTTTTTATTTATTGTTATGATGATAATAAATTAACTTATTTGAAAAAAAATACATTGAACAGTGACAAACCATCACTGATATGTTTTAAAAGTCAATCGTGACATCACAATTCAAATAATTCCTTTGGGTCTTGCAGGCACTCAGAAATTTTTTCAAGGATTAATATAACCTTCGTATAATAATTTCCACTAGTGTATGATACGCAACTCTACTAAAAGCTTAGTAATAAACGTTAATAATAATATAACAGTGCTCAATTGATAATTCAAGCAATTATATCCAGAAAGGCATATCAAACATAATGTATTGTGTAGTTGAAACTTAATATACTGTAGTTCTTTGGACAAGGATTTGTTGTTATCCTTGGTTGCTTGAACCAACGTTACACATTTCCCATTTATTTATTGCAATTCACCATCTTGGTGAGCAAACATTATCAACTGTAAAGATAATCTATGTAAAAGCTAATTGTAAAAATTGTCTACAGTGAACTGCACTGTTTTGTTTAATGAACAAATTGCTGTGTTATTTAACAACACAGGTTAAAATAAGCAAAAACTAGGCAAAATTTAAGAACTTAAAATTTGACAAGACAATGGCAAACAGAAAGCAGATTAAAAACTGGGGCATTCATTCTAGGCAAGGGACATGATCTTCTGAACAGCATACTTTTTCAATTTAAGAGTTGTTTTCTATTCTATGAATACTGTAAATGCTCGAATAAGCGCCGCTCTCAAATAAGTGCCACACTATAAAACCTGATTTTTTTCACTAAGTGCTGCAGCACTTAATCGAGAGTATATTATTGCCCTGTGTGTAATGAAACACCTTTAGAAACTTTTAGGTTTTAAATACTTCTTTATTAACATTTATTTACGATGACGTAGGACCTATGATAAGTCAACTGAACGGTATTATGTGAGATAGGTAACGAGAACGGAGATGGAAAGTGCCACGCCAATATTTTTTTATAATCGCCGATCTCGAATATACGTGCCGCACTCAAACTTCCAAAAATCTTATAAGCGCTGTGGCGCTTATTTGAGTATTTACGGTAGTTATATTCCTTGAAGGTTTGCAAGGTAAAGTATCAATAATACAATAATATTAAACTTTTGGTACACCATGTGTAAGAATAAGGTTTATTCTTGGATAAAATCACTGGTTGGTTGTCTCAATGTTTAGAGCAATCTCACTGAAATGTTGAGACAAGCAGCCAGTGGTTTTATCTCCAAAACCATATCTTTACACATGTTGTACCAAAAGCTTAATTATTACTTTCCCTATGAATAGCAATTATAATAATAAAGAGGTGAAGTACTCTACACTTTACTTGCGATAATACAAAGCTCCTTATGAAGATTGCAATAAGACTACCACATTGGTACACAAAGTTACTTGTTCAAGATACACTTTATTAGCATCAATTCAGTGTCACACCATTCACTATTCTGTATTATACAGTATATTCTTTATTGTTATGCATTAACATGTTAATGAACATAATTTAATATTGTAGCTTTTATGCATCAATAAATCAAAATACACTACACTACATAATGTTACTGTATTTATTAATGTTGTTGTGGGAGGAGTTAGCATCCCTTTATGGAAATAGCAAAATGATTATCTCAAAACAACAATCATTTTAATATACATGTTTTTTACCCATTTAAAAAAAATAAGGATGACATCAAGCATCCCTTTATAAAAAAAATAGCAAAATGATTATCTCAAAACAACAATCATTTTAATATACATGTTTTTTACCCATTTAAAAAAAATAAGGATGACATCAAAGGTTGGTTTTTGTATTTCCAGGTTGGATCTTGAAAGTCAAACTCTCCAACGTAGATGAACTGGAAGAATTAATGACAGAAGACCAGTATACAGAATTTCTGAAGAGTGAAGAATAAATAAACCAGTAACTTCTGTTTACACTATTAAGTTCCATATGACAAATCACAGGTATTTGTCACATAAAATTTCATAGTGCGGACAGACCATTTGCCAGCTGATTTCATAGTTTTATGTTTATTCTGAAATGAAGTATATTAATTATAACATTATTATAGGGAGCTCAGCCAGTTGCTTTCCGAAGTCTTGTTTCCATAAGATCTGCTACACTGGTGCTACAGCGTTTTCATTTTCACTGGAATGATTAAAACTTTGTAGCAGATTATTCCTACCACTATCAGAAAGGTTGTTTGATTCAACTGACCAATCAGTCTCTCCAACAGCAGTCTGTGATAGCATGTAGTAATTTTATGAAAACTCGGCTGAAATTTAACTTTTCATAGATTACATTGTAAACCTTTTGTATAATGTTGGTACAGTATATTGTACTTCACTGGTATTTCTTGCATTTAATGCTGTTGAAATGGTTTGTGCTGATAATGCTAACACCTGTACCTGGACACGCTGGGTATATGTTTTGAACATTTTTGTTGATGTGGTGTGATAAAACTAAACTGTTAATACCTCATGTTTTAAATAGTTATAAAAAGCAATTTGCAACACAATATACTATTCTATTATACTGACTCTTTTTAGTATTTTAGTAAATGGAAGATATCTTTTCAAAAACATTACTTTTTCTTTGTTGTTGTTTCCCTATCATCAACCAATAATGAACTCAATGAAAATTAATTTCTTACTGTATATGTTCAGAATGTTGACTTATATATTAAAAATCAATATAAGTTGGTAGCAAATATATTGTCTACTATATTAGTTTACTAAACAAAAGGTTATAAAAAGTGTTAATTTTTGGTCACATTTAATAGTCACTGTCCTTTTTTTTTTTTCAAATATTAAGAATAACATTATAGCGAGCATATTTGTTTTGAAAGGGATGTTGACAACCTGAAAATAATTTATGATTTTATGGATACTAATTACATACCTGTACTGTACAGAACTTTGGAATAACTCTATTGTTTGTTTAATTGCTTTAGTTGTGTCATTTCATCTCTACTCAACCAGTTTTAGTTCAGTAGGGGTGGAGGGAGTAGGCTTATGCTCCCACCCCTGTCGGACATCAGTATAAGGGGAAGCCTAACTCCATAGGTGGCATCAGATTTTTCAGACCCCCCCCCCCCCGTCAAACAGCTTACCCGTCCTCACCCGATCAGGACACTGGTTACTAGAAGATATACTGGGATCTACTACTATATGCTGCATGCGTTTCTTGGCATGCAAGATGCAATTTTTGTTCAAAAAATTTCACCTCCAACGGACCTCCAAGAGAGGAACACCTCCATGTGCAGCCAAGGCCTAATACAGAATAATCATTTTATTTTTAGCCACCTAGGCTAAAGATTATCATACTCTTATTGTATTACAATTCATGGATAACATAACAGTAATAGTATATCACCAGGAGATAACATTTTTTATTCTGAATAGTGTACAGAGTTTTATTTCCTGTGCATAGAGATTGCAGAGGATGAGCAGCTTCTTATCGAAATGACAAAGTAAATGATGAACAGTAGAGTGAAGTGTGTGGCAAAATACTATTGTCGGCAAGCTTTGAACCATACCGGTACATGTAATCTAATAATAGCACAACCCAGTGCCGGATATAAGGGGATGGGAGAGGAGGGAATTGTGGGCCCCTAATTTTTTGGAAAAAAAAAAAAAAATAGTGCCATTTCCTGTCATCAGAATGTACCTCAGCCCCAACATGGTGATTTCCCCAGGGAAAAAATTCTCTCCCAGGGTTTCTCTTACTGCAAAAATATTCCTGGATCTGCTACTGCAATCTTTCACCGATTGCCACCAAGATATCTCAAAGATACTGCTTCCCAAAAAATTAAGTAAAAACTTTGAACTGTGTATAGCAACTTTTAATAAATCTATTAAAAAAATATCAGCGATGAATGTCCTTTTTTCTTTTTTGCATAGCCCCTTAGATTGGTAGTAAATAACAAAATCTGAATTGTCTTGAATGATGAGTCTCCCATGATGGAAGAAGATAATTCATTTGATGAAATCAATGCTTTATTGAATGTGTGAAAGTTCTACATATTTCAATTCAGTAGATCATTAATTTTTAATACTGTTAATGATAATGTTAAACTATCGTAATCATTAAAAATAGAGCATGCCCAATGATAGAATTCCCATTTCAGTATTACTGTACAACACTATAAGGTTTTGGGTGTGGATACTATTCCATTTTTTGGGGGAATGCTCATGATGACACTGCACTGCTGTGTCTACATTTGTGTGGTGCATCTCCCATTTTTAATTATGCTTAGCAAAGGTCTGGCCTTGAATTTCTTTGTGTGTATACTGTAGAAGGGGTTCATGAACACAAAAACTCAGTCCCTTCCCAAGACGGCCGGAAATGGCACTCTCATATAGTAAAAGTCATCACAGTCAAAATGAAGCGGCAAAAAATCTCTCATGAATTTTTATCAACGATTTTCCGCAACCATAGAGATCTAATTAATAGGCCTATGTGTAATGCACCATAGACAATAAAAGCTAAAAACATTGTATTTGATGTAAATTTACTTATCTACTTCAAAGCTGCGAGTCCAGTGAGATATTAATTGCTGTGATGTATCGCAGAAAAGAGAACTTGTCTGATGTATTTACTTTACACACTTTTTCTCATAGGCCTACTTCTCAAATTATAATGAAGGCACATGCATTTGAGTCGAGTATTATAGGTAATTCAGATGTTTGGGAACAGAGAATTTGGGGCGGTCTCAGTCCAAAGTTAGAAACCTCTAAATATACTGACCTCAACACTCAATCTTGAAAAATTTTATTCATTTTTGTACTGTTTAAAGCAGGGGCGGATCCAGAAATGTCCAAAAGGGGGGGCCGGAAGCGGGGGCCGAAAGTTGGGCCGATTGAGACAACACTGCCGTAGGGGGTCTGGGGCATGCCCCCGCGAAATGTTTGTGTTCTAGACGCCCGAACATAACATTTGAGGCATTCTGGGCTATCATTTTTTTCTTTTTCCCCCTTTTTTTTTCTTTTTTTTACCTCCCAAAAGGGGGGGCCGGGGCCGGGCCGGCCCCCCCTAAATCCGCCCCTGTAAAGTACCGTATAGGTATATACCTAATACCGATTGTGATTAAAGCAAACTCGTATACAGCAAGTGGTCAGTCACTTAATATTTTGATTGAATGTTTATTGTAAATTATGTTTATCTTCCTCCATAGTAATTGTACTTGACTTCACATGTATCGTTACTCAATCTTAGCTTTGTTCATGTGGTACAATGAATAATCTTTTTTCATTCAAAAAGCGTCTCTTGAATTTTCCAAGTTGCCATAAGCACATCTTCAATTTTCATTTATTTCCATAAGTGCCCCCTCAATTCCCTGATTCCGTAAGTGCCATGTTAGAATAGCGCCCCTTGGAATGTGCAAAAAATGTTTTAAGCGCCCATTCACGCGAGTACGGTACTAGACTGATCAGAAAACCCAAAACCTCATTTTCATCAAATTGACATGGCCAACAACACCTTACAATTTATTTTTGTTTTTAAAGCCAGGAAAAAAATGTAGTATGTTGTAGAAATGATTTTTGTAAGACACAAAATTTTCAAATAAAAAAACTGGGGAAAAAGATAGAAAAAAGGGTTGTGTTATGCCCCCTCCAGTTGTACAACATATAAAAAATGTTTTTCCTCCTGAGCCTAGCTTTAAGAATAAATGGGGTAACTGTAGAAAACAACACTACACACCAACCTTTTAATTTTCTTCAAATTTATTTAATGCATTATTATTTGAATTTTCTGAATTAGATTACATGTTGTATCTTTAGCATACCCTAAGGTAGAGCATCAATCAACTAGCTTCAACAAAGTTGAGTTAACTAGAAGACTTCATTTACAAAGGGTACACAAAGTAAAACAACTTGTAATTTAATGCACACAATTCAACATATTTATGTACTGTAATATTAAAAATTAATAAGAGTCACTGCACATTTCCCATAAGATAATAGAGATAATAGAGTTACTAGAATTGTTGATCTATTAAAAGGCGGTACAAAAATATCCTACAAAGCCATCAGTGGCGTAATGTCTATCGGATTTAGGGGGTCAAAGCCACAGGACCCCCAGCCTAAAGGGTCCCTGGAGGGCTCTCCTTTTTATAAACAGCTTCTCCTAACACAGCTTTGACATTATGGTACAGTGGAAGGCACAACAATTTAATACCACGATTTTGACTCTCGAATATCCTAAGTGGACTCGCATGACAACACTTCTTTTATACACATCAATTCTCGACCCAAAACGTTCCACAGCCACATATTGAAGTACAGTAAAGGGTTCTCTCAGCACTGGTTCTCCGCTAGAATTCACAGAGAATTTGAATTAAATTATAGTAATGTATACGCTACAATACTGCTTGATATTCAATTGTGAAGGGGCCCTTCAAAAACATGGCCCCCCCAATGGTTTCTCGCCCACGGGCCGTGTGACTTGTTGTTACGCCACTGATGGTCACTGCACATTTCCCTGAAGCTACTAAAGTACTAGAATCATTGATCTATTATAGGCAGTACAAAAATATCATAGATACAACGCCACCCCTGATTTATACATTATGATTATCTACAACTCTTTAAACCTGATCTAAGAATATTATTCAATAATCTGAAAATGCTGATACCCTGTTTTATTTATACAATGCTCTAGGTATCTGCAGGGTCCGGCACCACAGGTGGGTCCAATAAGGGTCCAACCAAAGGGCTACTTATGGTTTCCAGTCAGGGTAGGAGTAATCCTTGATGGGGTCAAGAGTAGGGTATTGGAATAAAATGTTAAAAATTGTGCCTTTAGACCACAATATTAGGAACTGCAATTACTTGGAACAGCACACTGTTTAGTTTTTCAAACAGGGGGGTTCCCGGGGTTCATGTCTGTCCCCCCTGGGAATTACCACCCCTGCCCTGCTGCTAGTAACAGCTATTGTTCTATAGTTTTTCCACTACTTCTACAAAAGAGGATTTTTTTTATAACAATTCACCAAACACATGAAATAATCTTAACTGCAACCTCAGATAATGTTTAATGTTACGGCGTGTTGGTTTAGTTCATTGAGCCATAGCCTAAAAGTTTGCGGACATAGTTAACTTGGTCGTCACTGAGACCAAGTGTCTCGCGCTCGGCTTCAAAACCAGCCTTGGAACCATGACCACCAGCATAACCATTCAGCCGGGCTGCAACATGGGAAGAGATCACTTCCTTCGGGGTTAGGTTCAGACTGTGCAGCAGGTCTCCCTTCTGACGTAGCAGATATTTCTGATGATAGCTGTTGAAATAATAATATACACAATATTTATATATTTATTTTTTTTTTTTATTTTACAATCACCAATACAATTTTATTTTTATTTTCTCCTCTGTCTGGATGTTTTTGGCAAAACTATTTGCTAAATAAGAAAACAAAATTTATTTTTATTTTTATTCCGCCCTCCTCTGATGATTAAAAAAAAATAAGTACGCGAAACAAGGAATAAACAAATTCTCATCTTATGATCATTGGCACAATGGTTATCCAGTTTTTTTTTTAGCCCCAAGATATGTGATACATTTATTGTTTTTTAAGAAAAGTGGTCCAGCCCCTCCATTAAATGGACAGGGCACATTTTTTTGTAAAGTACTCCGGATGAGAATGTACTAATTACTAAATGACACTCACTCTTCTGCTTCGTAAAACGTCAATGCTGGCGTAATTTTGGTTTGGATTTTCCTCTTTAAAGTCTTCTGGTGTTCATCTTTGGTCTTCTCTGCCAACTTCTTCTGCTCCTCTGTGTGGTAGAATATGGCTGACATGTACTGGCGATTCAGACATGCAGTGCTGTCATGATTCTTCCAGAACATCCACAAAAGCGTCTCGTAATCTGTTGTTTTAGGGTCAAAATCTAAATCCACTGTCTCTGTGTGATCACCTCTATGGGAGAAATGAAACATATAATTTTTAGTTCATTCAGCTTTAGGCACTAGGATATGGTAAACAGTAGCTTAATCACTCTTCAACAAAGTGGCAATCCCATCAAAAGGCAAACATACAGTACACACACGCATGATGACATAAGCAGGGCACTCACTGATCCCGCTGGTCGATGCGATTCTTAGGAGAACACAATGCCATGACGCGCGCAACAGCTGCTTGTTTTTAATGATTCGTTCAGACTGTCACAGACAATCAGCAAACAGTGTTGCATCGTCAAACGCTCACAGGGAGCGAAGTTTGATTCGTCGGCTGATCGTCGTACGATGTTGTGAGTGGTTGGCTTTTGCAGCTGCAGTTCTGGTCGTGACAAGAAGAATCCTGTTTTACAATCACTGGATTGGAAAGCAAGCATCTTAACCACAACGTTTTTCAAGTCCACTCCAAATTATTTATTTTACAATTCAATGTCATATATGGTAGTAAATATTATTCCTTCCTACAATAGGTAACAGATAAAACCTTACTTCTAAAAATTGTCATTTCTTTTTAAAGTCAGACTCCGGAGGAAAAAAAAATTTTGATATGTTGTAGAACTGATTTTTCTAAGACAGAAAAAACTTATTTGACGAAAAACTGGGGAACGGTGAACGAGATACAGATTTTTGAATATTTAAAAACTGGGGGAAAAAGGGGCATAACCGCCCATTTTTACACCTTTTTCCCCCAGTTTATAAATATTCAAAAATCTGTATCTCATTCACCGTTGCTCAGTTATTGATCAAAGTACACTTTTTTCTGTCTTAGAATAATCAGTTCTACAACTTATCAAATTTTTTTTCCCTCCAGAGCCTGACTTTAAACAATAGGTAAGAAATAGAAAGTATAAAGGTTTTAAATTTTGAATGAAATATTCATAAACAGTTTAACCAATAAAAATTAAAAGTAACATCGAAGAATGCAATATTTAAATTAGCAGTTTGTTTTAATACAGAGCAAATGTTTCTGACTTGAATATAACAAATTATTGAATTAAAAAAAAAAAAAAAAATTCGTAACTGACAAACAAAAATCAGAGTTGGCTACTTACAGGGAATGATACGTGGGGAATTTCTTCTTTCCTCCAGTGTATCCAACCCTGGTGCGTATCACCCCTGGGACGCAGCCCAGCTGCGCCTCAGGGAACCAAAATCAGCTAAGTGCAAATGTTGCCTTGTCAACTGCGACCTCTGGGTCCTTGAAAGGCATTTTTGCTCCTTGAATCTACAGAGAAAAAAATATGAAAATCAATCAAAATTTTTATTTATTCACAAAAACATACTGTACATTTAAAACTTGATCAAGAACTAATCTGAAATTTCTATTTTGTAAAATTTGTGCTTTCTAATTTTGAAATGCAAAAGATAAAGATTTCATAAATGTCTATTTGTTAACAATAATTTAAAAAAAAAAAAGTTTAAAGCTGTACACCCTTCTCAGTGTTTAAGCTGTCATTAGCCAAAACCTAATAAAAGCTGAATTTTGCTAAATATTTTCATTCAAAATTAGCAAAAAAAGCTAATAAAATTGAAGTTATCATTGCTTATTCTTTATTTTGGCTAATCAAATTTCTATTTGGCTAATTATTTTCGTACCGAATTGGCTAAATTGCTAAATATATTTTTTTGGCCAGCTAATAAACCCTGCCTTCTTGACATATTTCTAAAAATGCTACTACGTTGTAGTGTACTGTAAATCTGTGTACTTCAACCATCACGATTGAAATTTCTAAACTAAAATGCCTAATCTGTAATCCACATTTACTAAAAGGAATGTTGAATATCCTGTTAGAGCAGTGAATTGAGGCAGAACAATTATAGGAAGTGAATGACTGGTGCTGTTTGGTGATCTTTATTTTTTAACTGGCTATATTTGGTAGAGAACACGATCCAGGATCTGTGATGTCTAATCTGTAATTATGTATTTTACTTCCTGGTAATAAAGATGCACAATGTGTCAGCATAAAACAGAGATAAGCAGAGTAACATAATGACGTAGCAAAAAACATGTTTGCACTTCATTATTACTATACAGGTAACCTATACATTACTAGTCATCATATTAATGACTAGGTCTAGTAATGGCTTAAAATGTAATTTCTGACATGTCAATTCTGGAAATATAATATTAAATCAGAATCTGATATTGTTTTTTTCCCCTGCTGTTCACTGATTTAAAAAATATACATGCAGGGGTTCCAACACTCCCTATTCGATGGGGAGTCTTCCAAATTTATGTGCTATCTCCCAGTCTCCCAAATTTGTTCAAGTTTTCCTGAATTTCAAAAACTAGGCCTAGATTTTATTGTACTTGCACACAACCACCTCGTTTTTAGTGAAAAAAAAACATAAGATTCACTTGGTAAAATAGATGAAATTACTACAGTATGCCACATGCATGAAAAACCCAATTTTAGGTATCTTATAAATTATGTTCATACACCTCAAAAGATGTTAATGCTATCAGAATATTTTGATGCTTTTCACTACAAATAGTGAGAATGTAGCGCCCTTTTACCGGCACTTTCTACCGTCTCCCAATTTTTAAGTCTAGGGGTTAGAACCTCTGAATATTGCTATTTAGACTTGGATCAGCCATGAAAAATAGAGCTTCTGAAAATAACAAAAAAGATATCAATAGGCCTAGGCCTACAGTAGGCTAATATTAATAGACTGCTGAAAAGATCTTTAACTATTGTATTTGATAATTGTCTGCAAATGTCTTGTGTTTCCTGCATTGCTGGACTTCTGGCAACTTTTTTTTTTTTTGACAAAATTATAATAATTATAAGAATGTATTAATCCGATTACTGACTCAAGCTTTTTACATCACATTTCACGCAACATGGCAATAACTACAACAATCAATCAATGTGACTGCATTTATCACTACTACTAGACTAGGCCTGCCCTAGCTAGCCTAGGCCTAGCAAGCAGCAGACACTGACAAGGACGTCCACTTATGATATGATTATTACCAAGTGCTAGAGGCCTACTCCTACCAGAGGGTAGAGTAGCGGTCCTCTGGAGTGTAGCAGAAGACTAAAAAGAGAGAGCCTAGGCCTAGGCCTGGCCTGGGCCTCTGAGTCCTGACTCTCACTGACACAGTTTTAATAAGTGAAAACAAGTTTCCTCACTTTAGTCTTAGAAGATGAGTCTCCCATGCGATATAAAATGTTATCCTTCAGTGTTCACCGTACCTGATTCTGGAGCGGCTGAATGAAAGTCCAAGAAACAAAATTTACTCTTGAGAACAGCAACCGCTGGAACCTCTTTAAGGCCATCAAATGACGTAATCTTGTAACTTCACACAGTGTTATGTTTACCTGGCTGGCGTTACATAACCATCCACGTTCAAAGTATATATAAAACATGTTAATGTGAGCTAAATACTTGATTACTACTAATGTATTAAAAAATAAAAAAATATATACATAATTTTAAATAAAACAAATATAAATATTGCTTTACATTATTTTAAAATATAGACCCAAAAAAAGTATAGGGCCTAAATATGAAAAAAAAACCCATCCAGGACAGGTCAACACAAACAAGCAAACATATCATAACAGTAAAAAGCTCACTTCTTCTTCCTGAACCCGGTTGGGATAATTGGTAATAATATTATGCAAAAGGTTATTTAGTTAGAGCATGGACCTATTAATAAGAGCATGGATCTTATTAATAGGTCCATGGTTAGAGCGTGCAAAATGCAAGTAGGAGGCGCCTACTACAGTTAGATACCAGTCGATTGAATTGTAACGATTTTTCATTTTATATTTTTTGCTCAAATAACTTGCATTATCTATAAAAGAATGTCTAAGTAGCTACTTATCTTCTAAAGGTATCTAAAATATTTGTACGTATTTCCCTTGATTAAATATAGCTTCGTCGCTATGGAGCGCAAAAGGGAAAAAGCAATACTACACTGCCCTCCCCCCCCCCCCCCCCCCCCCCCCCCAATTTATGTGCATGTTGTAACATAAAGCTAAGCGAAGTTTTAACAACCTTTAGGGTATATTAAGCCACAACTCAATACAAGATTATAGCATTCATGTTTTCAAATTACTGTATTATTAATATAGGCCTACATCTTATTCTCAACATGTTTAATTTATCATTGTCACAAACCATTAGAAATCACTGCTGAATTAACATTCGACAACTGTTTTTTTATATCATTAAAAGTGATTTAACTCCATGTATGTTTTAAATGCCTGCTGTTCACAAGAATCACTTCTCCGTCTAGGAAACAATTTCGCCGTCCTCCAACTATGATGAGTTTAATAAGATTAGGCACCGTTAACCAGATTCGAACAAATGTGTTCGCTGGAAGAACAAGTGTAACATTTTATTTATTTATTTGTTCATTCATTCATTCATTCACTCAGACAGACAGACAGACAGGCAGCAGGCAGATACCCCGAACGGCAGACAGACATACAGACAGACAGAACTTCATTCATACACATTCAGAACTTCATTCGTTCATTCATTCAGAACTTCATTCATTCAGAACTTCACTTTTTTTTTATCAGTGGCACTCTTCCAAAGGTGCGTCCAAGAAAAATGAAACAAAATTATACAAAATAACAAAACATAAGCTAAGAAATGGAAATCTGCAAAACAGGCAATAACAAGTTAACTAAAAACATTCAGATATGAAATTTAACCTCACCCACTCCCAACCCCCGACACAGCAAAAAGATTTGACCCATCGACATAACAATTCCGTATGCAATGTACACTGTGATTTGAAATCTTCATCCCTAATTTGATAATATTTTTTTTTTAAATAGCTTAGCTTAGAAAAATAGAGCTGTACACAATTATTTGATAAAATTTTGCATAATTTCAAAATTTTAAAGACCTCCATTTTAAAGACCATTATTTTGTGGTTCCAAGAAATGTTATTTGTCTTTATTATTCTAATTAGTGACCGAAGCTACTACCATAGAACCCCCCCCCCCCCACCCCGTCCCAAAAGTGGTCTTTTATTGGAGGGAGACTCGGTACAAAATATACTGGCAAACCTATTGGTCATGGCATGGAAATAAAACAGAGTAAAGTTAGAGATATCATAGGTCTTGATCGAGCTTTTAATGGTGACAGGGATTCAAGAATGAGGTACAGACTTTTCCACGGGTGTGTTATTATTATTAAACGGTTTTAAATGGAATCCGCATGCCATCAATGTACACAAGTAATAGTCCTGATCTCCCTGCTCTGACAACGTCTGTAAAATGGGGACGGTTGATATGAAAAACCGGTAAGATTAAGTTAGTGTGCATCACTGAATGGCTTCATATTGGAAGTGTTTAACACTCGGGAAAACCGCCCCCACCCCCACACCCCCTCCAAAAAGAAAAAGGAAAGAAAATGAAAAAAAGGAAATGCAACAGAGAGGAAATGAAAAAAAGGAAAGAAAGAAATAGAGAAAGAAAACAAAAAGAAAGAAAGAAATAGAGAAATAAAAAAAAAAAATGGAGACGGACGTAAGTTTATAAGCGATATAAAATAAAAAAAATAACAAAATCGAAAAGAATGATAATCAATCAAAAGGAATAGAAAGGAAAGTAACATTTCTTTATTGGTTCGGTTATAAAGCTAGTGTGGAGGAAGTGATAAATGTACACATTAAACTTATCTTTTCAATTAAAACCGAGACAAAAAACTGCAAC